TATGTTAAAACGAGCGGAATAGCATGAAATAGACTTGGTTTAAGTATGTTAAAAGAGAGCGAAATAGCGTGAATTAGACTTGGTTTAAGTATGTTAAAGAGAGCGGAATAGCATGAAATAGACTAGGTTTAACTATGTTAAAAGATAGCGAAATAGCGTGAATTAGACTTGGTTTAACTATGTTAAAGAGAGCGGAATAGCATGAAATAGACTTGGTTTAACTATGTTAAAAGAGAGGGAAATAGCGTGAATTAGACTTGGTTTAAGTATGTTAAAGAGAGCAGAATAGCGCGAATTAGACTTGGTTTAAGTATGTTAGAGAGAGCAGAGTAGCGTGAATTAGACTTAGTTTAAGTATGTTAAAGAGAGCGGAATAGCGTGAATTAGACTGGGTACACTCATCAGGATCCAGGTCGCTTGGATCCACTTCACTTGAAAGTGTACACTCGTCGTGGACCTGAGCTCTCCACTCATCCAACATCATCTCGCAACCGTCTGTGATCTCCACTGTCCCACGAAAGCTCTAGATCCACTGCATCCATCATACCTATACCCTGGATCCAGGTCCCTTAAGGCGGGATCCTCCCTCCTTGGATCCTAACTCGAAAGCATGGGATCCGGGTCACCTCGTGGTGGATCTTGACTCCTCGTTAGCCGTGGCTACTAGATCCACCTTTAGAGGGCACCTACCATCCTTCCTTCATAGGATCCACACCCGATCCACTCTTGTATAGTATATCCCATATCCATTTAGGTGAATCCAAGTAAGGGTGGATCCGAGGTAAGTCTTGGTGGATCTTGCCTTCTCGTACATCGCTCATACCAGATCCATCGTCACTTCATACGGGGTGCTGCTCGTCATGGCTAATCCACCACCGGCAACTTGCATCCGTGCCAGCCAACCCAAATCCTTTCTAATCACTTGAAATTGTCATTGATTCGGGATAGTGACCCCGCGTCAGGCCCATTCTCTTATTTCTGAGAAAGCACTTTACCACACGTACGTGGTCGACGCAGCTCCCAGCTGTTGAGTTTGCGCTCAACAACGCGGTGCACGCGTCCACGGGTTTCACGCCGTTCTTCTTGAACGGCTTCCGCCACCCCAGAGTGCCTCTCACTCTTCGAGGAGACACTGACTCCTCTATTCTAAGTGGGAGAGAGGCTCGGAAAGCCCTTTCCTCCCAGGTCTCGGATGTGAGACCAGTTTCGCTGCGGAAACAGGTGGAATCCTTTATGGATACCAAGCTGAACATTGTCAGCAGGGTCCGCGATGCCATGGCAGCGGCCCAAGATAAACAAAAGGAGTACTCAGACAAACAAGGAAGAGGAAACTTAAGTATATTTGAGGTTGGTGACTTTGTGTTGCTAGACACGAGGAACCTACCTCTTGACACTGTCAGCTCTGTCGGCAGCAACAAGCTGAAGCACCGCTTCGTCGGACCATTTGCAGTCCTGGCCAGACATGGTGCGTCGTACACCATCGACCTTCCAAAGTCAATGACGACGCACCCGACGTTCTATGTCGGACGTCTTAAGCGGTACTTTGACCCGCAGGGGGTTGCTGACTCGCAGACCCCCCTTGACCCAGCTCCTCGAAGCGAGGGCCGGTCACAGTCGTCGACGAGGGCGTCGGAGCAGGCACCCAAGCCTCGGTCGGGACGGCAAGGCTGCGGTCAAGACCGTACGCCGGAGGGGCTCCATACGAACGGACCCCGGCGCCATACGCCGAGTACGCTGAGTACGCCGGATACGCACCATACGCGTACGTCTGGGAGTGTGCCGCAGGCGGCTCCGGACGTGGCAACAAAGCCTCGATCCGTCGGATCATGCGAAAGGCCTCGTCCAGATCGGACGAAGAGGCCCGGCGATCCATTCGCAGGTGCAGGCTCGCGACCTCTCGCTCCACCAGGTCCAGGCGTCCCGCAAGACGAGCGAGCTCGCCCTGATTCCCGGCCTGGGCGGCAGCATTACCGCCAGTCCCAAGGCCAAGTGCAATCTCAAGCACGAGGACACGTTGACGGAGGCGGTCAACCTCAGGGTCCCGTGTCGGACCCGCAGTCGGAGCACTCGGACGAGAGTGGCTCTCGGGAGGCGCCGAGTACTCGTACTCGTACGAGGGCACCTCCGCCCCTGCTTGACCGGAATGGAGAAGTCCACTTCCACGTGGAGCGGATCCTCCAGGAGCAACGGTGTCGCGGCAAGCGACAGCTCCTCGTGAAGTGGAGGGGTTATGCCCACTCCGAGAACTCGTGGGAGCCGATTTGAACGGCTCCTGATTGACTGCCCGAGGGCTTGTCGCAATCTGGGAACAGAAGCGGCGGCAGCTTCATAAGCAGTCCGGGGCTTCTTGCCCGAACGGGGTACGGTCGATGAATACATACCGTACCCGCGCTCATCGTGAGCGCTAGAAGCCGCGCGCTTCAGGATGTCCCTTGGCAGCATACGCTTGCTGATCAAGTGGGCAAACCTCACACGAAGATCACGCTGGTCCAGGATGTGGGACAGCTGCTGATCTTCATGGAGTTCCCGTAACTCCGTGGGTGAGTACTTGAGAGTCTCCACCCACGCCCAGAACATGTCCTCACAAGAACTCCACGTGGGACAGTTCTCGGGCATAACCCAGGGGTATCCCCAAACAGGATAGAGACCACCCCGGGTCTCGGGCTTCTTACGACAAGTCGTGAAGTCCTTAAGGGGAATGCGGTGTGGCGCGAGAAGCACACACCGAGCAGCCTCCAAGTTGTCGACGAGCAACTGTTCTTTCTGAACAAGGGCTCGTTCATAGATGCCCCTAGAAGTGTGGCCGCCCACAAGGCCACGAGGAGCGACGAGAAGCTCTAAGAAGAGGTCAGCCCCAGAGCTCTCCTCGGGAGGCCAATACCCTCTTGAGTTGATGGCAGCTCCCTGGCTGACGGGTGCCGCCACCGAACCCCCACGCACACGCTGGGCAGCTTGGAAATCCTCCTGCTGCTGGTCGAGGTCATTCGAGACCTCCCGGGGCTCAACGATAGCACCCTCCTCCTCCTCTTCTTCCTCCTTCTCCTTCTCTTCATCCGAGGAGTCGAAGAGACTCTGATAGGAGCGTCGAGTCTCCTTCTCCTCGCGGAGTGGAGACTTAGAGGCAGTACGCTTCTTTGAGAGCTTGGCGCCTTCGGCTTTGGAGGCCTTAGCACGCGCAAGACCCTCGGCAAGCGAGAGACGTTTGCGAGGATTCTCTTCCTCATCGCCACCGGCTTTGGGAGCGTCCTTAGCCTTGACGGCCGGACTCGCAGAGCGCACAGAGGCCTAGGACTGTGATCACCTTGATCACTAGCGGGCGACTGCACGCTGTCATCTTTGTGTTCACTGGGCACTGGGCTGTGCCCTCCCACAGAGCTCGCAGGAGCTCATGAGTGCTCCCGGACTCGGCATCGTCCTCACTGTCCGAGTTGAACTCACGTTCTACGAACCGAGGGCTCGGACGATTGTCTGAAGATGAGGGCGACGGGCTGCGGCGCTTGCTTGCGCGCTTGTCCACAGCCGCGTCACCCGAGGAACCGATCGCCTCGGAGGCCACCTGAGCAGCCTCCTTAGGTGCAGAGCCTTTGCCGTGAGGCTTAGCGCTCTTGGCCTGCGCCTTACCGGCTGCAGCCTTGGAGCGTGTCTTAGCACCGCTCTTAGCAGTGCCACGAGGCATATTAACGGTCGAAGTGGAGACCTAGACGAAGAGCGCACAGGTTGCTGCTCGAGGCTCTAACTGTGAAGTGAGCCTCCGCCGCGCTCGCGCGGCCAAGTCGATGGTTTTCGACTTTGAGAATGAGAGTTTGTGACGAACACCTCTTCATTCTGATTGGTCGGTAAACCGAACCTAAGTGGGGGAGGATGTAACGGGGTACGTAGCCCTAAGTGTACCCTGGTTACATGAAGTGTGACACTTCACACTTCAGGAGTATGACCCGAGATATTTGGTACAAGGTACCAAGGTCGTTCAAAGCCAACCATTGGTTAAATGACATTGCATTTCTATAGGTAACTAACAGTTTGTATTAAACCCAAACTTAACCTACCTATAAATATACTCAGTTTACAATCTACCTTATTTAGGTCACTTCGCTCTCTTTAATTAAAGAGGGGACCTGTGAACTGCCGTTCACTGAGAGTTTGTATACTCTCGGAAGATAACTTCCTCTAGCGCAAGGTGCTGTGTGACCCCGTCACAAACACAGTCACGGCGGGGGAGTGTTAAGATTTGGTCGACTGTTGAAGTCAAAGATAGCAGGACTGGGAGGATGTTTGGACGCAGGAGAGGGGTTTTACCTCCCAGGCCCAGCGGTTACGAAACCTACGGGTTGCTCGGCCATGTATGCCTTCAATATCACTTCCTCTTTTCCTCTCTTCATCTCAAAAGTACTATCAAATTACTTGATTTGGAATCATATCCGATTATATTTTCGGACACGGTTCAAACAGATGCCCCGCTTATATTTCCGGACGGAGGTTTGCAACAATCCAGAAATGGGCTCCCCCATGGCTGTGTTGCTCAACATCTACGATCTTGTGGAGGCCAACGAGTTCATGGCTCGTGAGTGAATCTCTTTCGTCTATTTATTGACGTTTATTGACATAACTTTTGCTCTATTCGCAGCGCTAGGCTTCGGCATCTTTCACAGTGGCGTCGAGATAGGCGGGAAGGAGTTTTCCTACGCGAGCGGAGCCGGCGTCTTTGCCTCGACGCCTAGACAGGCACCCGGTGCTGTGACACCTCCATATCTATCTATAAGTGTATTATTAACTTATTGCTGCGTACAGGTGCCAAATTTCGGGAGTCGATCGACATGGGGCTCTTTGAGGGAACCTCCTACGAGGCACATCGCCTGGCCTATTCGTTGAGCCCGGACTTTGATGGTGATACCTACAACCTTTTCACCAAGTACGAATAGGCGGCAGGTTCGTAAATACAGGATGGGAGAGACTGAGGACTTTTTGGATTGGGATTGTGCAGGAACTGCAACACGTATGCAGACGTCTTGTGCCAATTGTTGCTGGACAAACGCATCCCGGCATACGTGAACCGTGCAGCCTACCTCGGTTCGTTCCTAAGCTGCCTCATGCCGGCAAATTTGACGGACCAAACGCCAATCGGAGATCCAAGCAACCCTTCGCGTAGTATTACCAATGGAACGCCACGGCGCTCTGATTTTATCTACTCCCCATTCGCAGGTGCGCTTGAGCATGGCTAGTTTCACGTCTATTTGGACTAAGTATGCGTACTATTGCTGCAGGCTCTGGTCAAACTGTTGGTGGCACGGGGGATTCGTCATCGTCTTTGAGGCCGTCGACGCTGGCTGATCGCCGCGAGAAAGCTCGCTTGGCAGCGTTGCGACGGTTGGATGAGCAGGGACAGAAGTAGCCTCCGCGTCGAGTTGAGTTGAAACAATTAACAGGCAGTTGCTAAATATGAAAAAAAAACAAATTTCTTTGAGCAGGCGGTTTTCAAAAAGGAGTTTCAGCCACTTCTTTGGTTGTGAAAGGACAACACGCATGGGGAAGTCACCGTCGACGGGTAAGAAAGGCAGTGGATACCACGGAAATCGCGCGTTGGTGAGCGACACACGATCTGAGAACGGGTCTGCAGCGTTTGAAGATCCAGACGGTGATGTGCTATCTGCCCCTCCGCGAGTGGAGAGCACAATCGTAAGTCGCGAGACCGCAACACATCACGCTTTCGCTAAAAGGTAGGGAGCTGCAGGATTAACACTGATCGGTGCTAAACTAACAATCTGATGTTGCGTTCTTATGGTTAGTCGAAAGGAGGACTTTGTCTACTCCCCAACAAGGCACTACATGCACATTCTGAATGATCATTGTCAATGGAATCGCGAAGTTCGATCAGCTTTGCTGGTGGTGGTCGGACACTCAGGTGATGGCAAGTCAGCATTGCTCGCGAACTGGGCGGAAGAACGACATTGTTCACTTAAGGGTGAGCGAGAGGTCATCTACGAGCACTATTGCGGCTGCTCCTACGACAGCGTGAAACTCTCGCTGTTTTTGTTTCGATTCATGAACCAGCTTGAAATTTCTTATGGTTTGCGCGACTTTGAGCTTCCGCGCGAGCACGAGGAGGAGAAATTGAAATTCTCCTTTAGTCGATGCTTAGAGGCTGCGGCTGGAAAAGGGGAGCACACAACAGGACCAGCACCAATGAGAAAACGGTACGACCTGGAGATGACGAGATTAATCTCCATCCTTATAATTGACTCGTTTGTCTTGTGAGCAGTATTATTCTGGTTCTCGATGGCATCGACTGTATAAGGACTGAAGATGGGGGGGATTCTATCCTGGCTTCCTAACACCTTCCCTCCCGGGGTTCGCATTATTGTTTCAACAACCCAGACCCTAAAGAGCCATCTTTATCGCTGTCAGAAAGTCTCCCGTGTGCCAGCCGTATATGATGGCGAGTACGTCGACTTGTGTCCCTTATAATTCCTGAAACTCACTCTCACGTGTCAAGGATGCCTGTTCAGTGGCGACCTAATCTACGATGTTACACTACCACCACACGACAAAGAATCTCGCACGATCCGGGAGCTGCGCCGTCGAAATGCGGTTTTTATGGTCGTGGAGCCACTTGATGAGGTTTCCTGCTTGGCGATTCTTGAGGTAAAGAACCATGAATATTGTCGGTATCGTGGGAAGAATCTACTAAGTAATCTGTGCTGGAATAGATGTACGAACAAAGATTTTCTCGTGAATTGGACTCTGAAGTGAAGCAGCTAATCGTCAGCGCTCGCGGAAGCTCGAACCCACTTTACGTGAGACTCTTGCTTAATGGTCTTGAACTTTTTGATCTGACCGAAAATGATCAACGCCAACAATGGCTAAAACAGGCCTGCGAAAGCAACCAACTCAATGGCGTGTACGAGCTTCTAATGAAACAGTGGAATGTCATACTACTGAAAGATATGTTTGCCGAACTCCACGAGCACACTGCAATGCTGAAGACTGCTACGTTGAACCCTTTAAACGATGGGGTCTTTTCACCCACGACCGATCGAAATGGAACACTGCCAAGCTTAGCTAAAAGTTCCTCTACGGAATTACCAGTGGGCAACAACGGTCCAATCGACCAGGGGGACCTTGGAAGTCTTCGGATTAAGATTGAGCAGCGTGCACTTCTGATCCGCCATACGCTCTCGCTTCTAGCTGTGTGCCGCTATGGGCTATCCGAGACTGATTTCGCACGGCTATTTGGTGATGGGGTCCCACAACGTGTTTGTCAGCAGCTCTTGGCCCTCCTCAAGCCTCATTTGATGACAATATACAGGCACGACTGTAAGGGAGCTGTTCAATTGTTAGTCTCAAGTGCTACTGCAAAAAGTTACGGCAACCAAGAAAGTGGAGGTGAAACAGTTGTGCTGTATGATCTCAGCCACAACCAACTGCGGCTCCTTACGCGCTATGGATTTTTAGGCGACGAACAGCTGCGCAACTGTTATTACCGCGAGCTCGCCGTATACTTTGAAGCCATGGAAGCATGCCAGCGCCGTGTCGACGAACTACCCGTGCAACTGGAACGCTGTTCCATGTGGGGCGTGCTACAGAACGCGCTTGTGAATATGAATATGTTCCAGTTGTGGTGGAGCGAGAGGAATCGGCAAGAGTTTTTCTTCTACTGGATGGTACTGTCCTCGAACTGCTCCTTGCACGACCCGGTGGATGATTTTGTCCGCTCCCTAGATGAATACATTGCCCAGGAAGCGCCTAGCCCAGAGCAATTGCTGTCCATTTTCCTCACCATCACGGAGTTTTTGCGAGCGTGGCAGAAAGTTAATGAGTCTCGTGGCGCTCACCTCGAGCTTAGTCGGCCCAAACCCCCTCAACTTCAAGAATTTCTGAATAGTCTTGGTAACTTCTCGACCTCAAGTTTATCCGAGAGCGAGGCGGATCGAGTTCAAAAAGAAATTGATGCTCTCGTATTCCACCAAGACGACGGCTACTACGTTCGGCGGTGGCTTTGGACTCAATTTCCGCTGATCGGTACTGCGTTTGAGAGCAGAGTTTTTCGCAGTGCTGCATCCAGTCGAAACTCTGTAAAAACGGAGTCTAGCTCTGGTTCAAGAGATGAGTTGACCGGCGCTCATACTTGTCTGCTATCAACCACGAAAAGAGTTGCTGCTGCGAAGAAGACACGTCAAAACACTGTAGGCCGTGTTCTGCCAGAAAGTTTGGGAAACCCAAACAAATCTCTGGTTTCAGCAAAGCGCCGACCCCCGCACAAAGTCGCTCCTTCCTCTGGACCTGAAGGTCTTGCGGGTAGTGAAATGGGAGCGTTGGAATTCCTATCAGCGGAAAACAGCGAGGGCTCTTTGGGCTCTGTTTCGAAACTGGAGGTTCGTTCTTTGTTGCGACTGATTTCATTTCTTGTGGTTGTTGTCTAACTTCTTGCTCCAGAGTCAACTGTTGGAGCTTCGGATGAAGTACGACAGGGTGAAGTTTGTTGCTCGAGAGAAGAACGAAGCGCTTAAAGGGCTTGAATCGCGTTTGATGGACGCCAAAGCCGAGGTTAGCGCAGCGGGCCATAACGCCACGCAGACTGATGACTTACTGGAGAGTATTCGTACCGCCAATGATGAAGCTACTCTTGGCCGCCAACGCAGTGACTACTACAAACTAATTCTGCGTCACTGCGAACTATATCCAGGCCGCGATCCGAACACAATCGAAACTGCAGAGGTATTTGTAGCAAAAATGAAGCGTGAAATCGTGGAGGTGCAGCAAAAGACACAAGTTGTGTCATACGAAAAGCGACTTGCCAATCTCGATGTGCCGAAACTGGTGCAGGTAACACAGGACAATACTTCGATTCACCAGGAGGCGCTTTCGCGGCTAAGGTGGCGCCAAGAGCTTGATCGTCGCTTGTACTATGCTAGTCTTTCGGCGAAAGAAGGTGGGCGGAAGGCCAGTAGCGTATCTGTTTCCACGCAGAAGAAGAATTCCGATATCCTTAGCACTAAAACGGATTTCGCCGAGCGTGCCAGCATCAGCTTCCCAACAGAAGGCGACGCTGAAGAATCAACACCCGTTGATCCCAATTTCTTTCGCGCCAAGGACAAGCTGATCCATATGAAGGAGATATCGCTGGCTCGTCAGAAGCACGTTGAGAATTTGCAACTATACGTGGGTAGTGCCTACAAGGATGATGGTATACTGGGCGCTCTCCGTCAAGTAGGCATCAACAAACCAGAAGAGGCCTTGGTTTACTGGCAAAACCAACTTGATCACTCAGTTCAGCTTGAAGAAGAGGAGAAGCAGGCAGAGCAGCGCGTGCTCGAGCATCGCGTGAAACTTGAAGCTCTCCAAGCACAATTTGTGAACCTCAAACTCAGCGGCAGCTCCAGTGGAAGTGGCTCACTGGAGGATGATGCCGCCAATTCAAACGGGGACGACGAAGCTGCAGCTTCCAAGACAAGTGTCAATGTGAAGATATTAGAGAAGCAGCTGGCCGAGGCGAACGCAGTCAAGCAAAAGAAGAAGGAGCGTGCCGCACGGTTACGGTCATTACAGGAAAAACTGCATCTGGGACTCTTGCACATCGCTGAACTATTGGGTGTGACCTCGATCCAGCAGCTCAGCGCGTTGGAACTGGTAGACGCAATTGAAAAAGTGGTGCGAGTTGTTGCCGGAGATGAAGCTCACCTGCAGGCAGCACCGAACCCAAGCTTCCGTCACAAGAATAGCACTCGAATGGTGACTATCGCAGGACAGTCGGGAGATTCAGCGGGGCTCCCATCGGACACGCGTAAGCTTAGTGATGACGACAAGGTGCGCTACAACATCCGTATATCGCGCACCGAAAAGCGCCAAATGAATCCGTACGTGGACACCGATTTTGACGACGACGACCACGAGGTCAACTACGACGAGGAAGACGAAAGGGATGATGCTGGCAACAACACAGGCGATAGTGATCAGGAAGGATCGGCGCCCGAAAGACAATCCACTCCTAATCGACGCGATTCCAACGTTGTGAAAAAGCGCCAGGATATTAAGAATCGCTCCAAGCTCGAGTTGGAAAGGAAGAAAGCTGCACAAAAAAAGAAAACCAACGATTAATGCAAGTTATAAACAGAATGAGACATCGAGTCGAAAATGATGTGTTTGCATTCTTTTTGTCTTGTTAGTAATGGCGGGGCCTTCAACTCGCTCGCTTCGGTGTCCTCCGTTTGCCTCGGCTTAGGCTTGCTGGTGCTCGTCGTCGTACGACTCGTAATCGTCCTCATCGTACTCATGTTCGTACTCGTATTCCTCAACGGGCGGCGTCTCGGGAACGGCCACAACAAGTCCGTCCAGTTCCTTCTGCAGCACAATCTCCGTGCCTAGACGCGAGTTGGCAGAGCGGTCCTCGGCTGGAACGTACGTATCAATGATGTGGCGCTCCTGGTTATTGGCAGGCGGAAGTTTGAAAATCCACTCGTTGGACACCACAACGTGCGACTGCGGGGACGTTGAGCCCTCGCCAAAAAGTGACTCGGTGTAGAAGTCGGCGCGTCGAGCATCGTACACCCCCCCACCGCCCATCGAGTCGTCCTTGATATAGCCCACGTTGTTCATCTCACAGGCCTGACGCAGCGTCTGGCCGGCGCGGCCCTTGACCACGTGGCGATTGCCTTCGAAGTCAACGAGCACCACGTTCACCCTGGCATTAACAAGACCATTAGAACGCCAGAAGATCACATAGGAATCTTTAGGTTAATAGATAAGCTAGTGAGACTTACACTTTTTCAAACACGGTGGGTACAGACGCATCGACAGCGAATCCACCGATAAAGCGGCGGCTCGCGGCACACGACAGCGCAGACGATCGAAGTGCACGCGCCAGCATCCCGTAGGTAGATAATAGGGAGAAAACTGGTCTTGAACCACACACCACTTTTCACTTGGCTACACTATTGAAATCGAATACCTGGGTAGCTGACAGCAATTGGCTAGAATTTAAAACCGGGGAGAACCAGGTTATTGAGCTTTGTGGACCATGGCGGGGGGTATGTACACTAAGATGACACCCACAGGCTCGTCACTCATCGTGAACCCGCGCTTGATCTCCAAGGAGCTGGAGGCCAAGATCGCGACCGCAATTGCAGGCGTGATCGCATCCCATGACGTGTCCAAACTGACAACGAAACTGGTGCGTCAAGCCGTGGAGAAGGAGATTCGCGTGAGTCTCACGAACCACAAGGAAGTGCTCAAGCGGCTCATGCACCAGGAACTTCGCAAACTTAAGGCAAAAAAACTAGCGAAACGTGCAGCTCCGGAGCCCTGGAAGATCGCTATGAGACGCGAGAGTATCGCCAAGGGACTTAACTGCATTTATCAAATGCTGCGAGAAGCCGCGGGCTTCCCAGACTGGGGACTACACGCCATCCAGTCGCTCTACGATCTACAGGCAGTAGAGGAAGGAGATATATTGCGCCTTGCCACACTGTACGCTAGGCTCATCGGCGCTTTGTGGCTCAAGGAGGACCGTCACGTCAATTGGGCCGTCGGATCCATTCCCACGCCCACCCAGCTCGTCAATGCTATGTCTGCTGTCTACCTAGTAGAGCGTGTGGGAATCTCACATGCGAGACGTGTTGAGCTGTTGGACTTTTGTGATCGATCGCCTGTTGTTTATGGAGCCAAGGTGAGGCGTCTGGAGATAGATAAGGATATCGGACTGGATGATGACTCACTTTTGTTGATGCGCAGGAACTTCTTGGTTGGAATCCTGCAGAGAGCCCTCCACCAACAGACGACAAGAACGGACCCTCGATCTATGAACGACTGACGAGTGCGCTGGTCGTATGGCATCACTCGCATGCGCTTGGGATCTCATTAGGATTCACCTTGCCGCAGCTGTTACAACATCTGCTGCTGGTATACCCATACAAAGGCCCCAGTGATCTTTCGCCCCAAGAGTACGAAGACCAGGTACACTTGGTTACAACCTTGGTATTTGTACATACAAACCATGGACGGCTGCGCTGCGAGACGGTATGATACTATCCTTTTGCACACTTATACCCTCAGCAGCTCGTTGTAAATGCTAACACGTTTCGTCTCGGTGTCAAATAGGACCTCCTTCCTCACGAATATCTCTTCCTGCGTCATCATATCGTCTATCTTCTGGCGCAGCAAGATGCCCCTTTGCTAGGTGACTCATTGAGGGTAAAAAAGATCTGAGTTTTCGTGACCGTGTATTATGCTCACTAACTTCGCAAAAATGCGGTATGCGTAGGCTTTGAGATGCTTTGAGGGATCGTGTAATCTCGTACAGATGCACCGAGGAATGGCTTACTTGCTGCTGACTCAACGTGAGGATGGATCTTGGATGACGGAATCAGCACATAATGACCCCAACCAGCGCTATTTCTTAACTATGCAAGCGGTATGGGCCCTGTGCGAACCCCATCGCGTAGGATTCGCTCCTGCGTTTCCAGAAGCCACCCCAATGCTGGAGCTCAACTTGAATGTCGAAATGGAAACTCCTGATGTGAGTTATATGCGTGCACTGATACCTTCAAGTTCTGACCTGCTGATTGGCTATGTAAAACGACTTTATAGGGGGTCTTTGTGGAGAGCTTAAAGGTGAGCGATGTTGAGGATGCAGCTGTCGATTCTGAGGTAGCAGCGGCAACGGCGGCAGCTCCTGCTGATACCGAAGACGTAGCAACGCGTGTAGCCTTCCTCCAAGGTTTACTGGACCAGAACGGCTACGTGAAAAATGTTTCACCTGCTCTGGCCACGCATGTGCTGAGCACACTCGCAGATATGGTGCTTACTGTTGAAATTCTCAAGAGCACGGGTGTCGGGCGTACTATTAACAAGCTACGCAAGCACACCACAGCCTCTGTTGCCAAGGCAGCCACGCAACTCGTGGCAAAATGGAAAAATGACTTGCTCTAGGCACCCATTGACGCTAAATGGGATCACTTGTTGTTACGAATATGCTCAATGCCGAAGTGATTTCACAGTGTGAATCACACTGCAAATACTACAGTGTTGCCAACTAACTGACACAATTTATTTTTCCGCAGCATACATGTAGTTCAGTCCGCTGAAGAATATCACGTACTTCGACGTATTTTTCTGCTAACGGTACCGTATTCCGTATGTGATCACTCATTAATGACAATAGAAATACGTGTAGCCAATCATAGCACTAAATATTGTACTGTTGTAGTTTTTGTGTTTACTGACAGCATACACACTGCACGATGAAACCTGATCAATTTATGTTTTTGTTTAGCGATAGGCAGACCGTTTATTCGTAGTCATAGACGACGTTTACTCTTTAAATACTAGCCAATAGGAGCACCTAAATTTACCCAGATGGTGTCCGCTATTTTTCATCATCAGTCCAGCTAATTCTGTGTCTGTAACCTATCGCACGACACTATTAAATCACTCGTCCACGTCATTCACCAGAGCCTCGGTTGTCGGTGACTTCATAAGCCGGCCTTCAAGGATTATAGTAGGAAGTGGCAAGCGTCGCAAGCAATACAAGCACGTGTCGGTCGCGTACGGCGACAAAAAGCTATCTGGTCACACTGTAAAAGAGTGCATTAAGCGCTTTTGTGGCAATCTACCCATGAAAGATCATAGAGCGAAGGAAGAACTAATCTGCAAAGCAGCAAAGACAATAAAAAAGGCGTGCGAATCAGGTTGAGCAGGCCATCACAAGCTGCGCAGTTTGGGAGACGCCACATCAGACTGTCGAATTAGACACAGACAGCGTTATTAACTTGCTATAAAAGTACGTACTAGCAGAGATGGAAGCTAATTCTGACGACGACATCGGTAGTGAATGTAGCGCGAGCGATAGAGATTGCCACGACAGCGACGGCGAGGATTAATAAAACTTTGATACGGTACAGTCACACCTCCATAAATGACGCCCGATTGGCTCGGGAAAAAGTGTCTTTTCATTTATACACCTTTGCCCGCCCATAGTTGGCTCATTCAACATCCAAAGTCGGCAGCTTTAATTTTGGTTCATTTTTTGCCGGAGCCAGGTACCCGACATAAGCAGTACCACCCTTTTTCCTCATTCAATGTCGACTAATCAACATTCAAAGTTGTCACTGCCGACGAGATTCCGACAAGATTCCGACGAGGAACTCCCGCGCGCTCGAAGCCGCCCAAGCTTATGCGTGTGGCGCGTCTTAATCTTCACTCTCAATTCTACCGAGCATCGCGTAGATGCCTTGACTAACTGCATGTACAATCTCTACGTGAAGCGGTCGCGTGGCAGGGCGAAGAAGGGCAAACGCGCGATCGAAAAGCTTCCGCCTTCAAAAGGGCCCAACCTGCAGATCCAGTGCGCAGTCTCCTCTGCTTACGGCGTAGTAGCGTACCGCAACAAGCGGGGCAGCATCAAAATGAAGGACAACGCGGACTTCGTGGAGGAGCTGTACAAGGTGGTGAAGGAGTCAAAGGTGTACGCCACCGAGTACACGAACAAGAACATTGTTGTCGTGTTCGACAACGCGCCGGCCCACTCGCGCACGGAAGAGCTCGTGCCTGCCCACGACGACCTCGTCCTGCTACGCTTGGGACCCTACAGCCCAATGTGTAACCCGATAGAGAACTGCTTCAGTTCTTTAAAGGCACACATCAAGCAGTACCTAGCTCTTGCTAGGGAGGAGATCCTAGAGCCCGTGCTAATCAGCGACGGCAAGCCGATCACGAAGACCGAGGCGCGCATGCGCATTCTCGAACGCGCTGCCAACGTGAACATGCCGAAGATCACGCAGCGCATGGTGCAGAAGATGGAGTTGCCTGCTACGAGGTTCGTCAACGCCGCAATTCGCTTCGAGGACATGGTGTACGGGGATCTGTAGGGAGAAGAGGAGTACAGCATGCCGACTTTGAGTATGGATTAACCAGTTTTGATTGCACTAAGGATAGTGGTACTGCTTATTTCGGGTACCTCGCTCCAGCAAAAAATGAACCAAAATTAAAGCTGCCGACTTTGAATGTTGAATGAGCCAACTATGGGCGGGCAAAGGTGTAGAATTGGTCACATAGATAAATACCTACATGTAGCCATCTTGCTGAAAGTAACTATCGTGTGTCCGCTGTCGCCTACGCTTCACCACTTGCGTTCGCACTAGCTTTGTCAAAGATTGCAGCATGCTCTGCTGGTCTTTAGTGTCCCTCTCGCACTGAAACAGAAACGCTGAAAGCTCCACGCCATTCACAAGGGCTGTCGATGCACGTACAGGTGGGTCATTCTTCTTGGTTGTCACTATCGTCTTCACCAAGTGAACAGCCGCTGCAGTCAACGTCTATAGGCTCGTGGACTTGGGCATCTAAATCGATGTCTAAATAGCTGTCAACGTCCTCATAAACAGCAATTCCAGTTAGCATGCTCACAATGTCGTCGATGATCGCCTTTTCAGCAGCCTTTGTGTAGTCTCCTGCCTGCCGAATCTCGCCAATCAACTCCGCGTTCACGATTTTTGACTTAACCCAGCAGTTGCATATACAATCAGCTTCTACGTCACTCCAGCTATCTATGCTGAAGTGGATTGCCTCAAGTATGTTCAACTCTCGTTTGATGTCACGA